CCGTCTCCCTCTCACCCCAGGTTTACCCCTGCCCAAGAGGCAAAGCCCATGCCAGCTGTTCTGCTGAGGCCACGCAGGAGGACCAGACGTCTGTTTTCAATACTGATGACAGATGAGCGTGCAGGGCATGCAGCCACCCCCCAAACAAGCCCCATTTCTGCTCAAAACAACTGAAAGTAACAGCAGACTACTTAGGGCTGGCTTCTCCAGGAGAGTTCCAGAAACGACAGCGCAATGGCCCCTCTGAAGAAAACAGACAAGGCACCAAACCCATGGGTGGGGGACAGAGGAAGGAGCCAGGCAGGGAGAATGAGCATTTCAACAGTTAGTTCAAAAGGGTGTCAAACATGTGGCGGCCATAAAGTGTGTGTGTGTGTGTGTGTGTGGATGTGCATGTACTTGTGCATGAGAAAGGGAGAATGTGTGTATGTGTGTCTGTCTGTGCACAGGCACACGTGAGCTTGTGAATAAATAAACAATTCCAGCACTGGATTTGGCTGCAGGCTAAAATTGAGGGAGATCAAAGGAGAAAGCCTGCATTTCCCTATTCTGGCCTCACCTGGCCAATTGTGTGAGTAATCTTAACTCTCTATCCAAAACAAGTCTTAAACTTGATTTTGTTGTTTTCTTCCTAACATGTTATTTTTCTTTTAGTTTTTTTCAAAATATATGACAATGTGTGAGAGCTATTAAAATTTGCTAGTAGCTATTATGCCCAAGCACTGTGCTATATTTAACCCTCCAAATAGTTTGTGAAGTTAGTATCATCTTCTCCATTCTACAGATAGGGTGACTGAGACCTAAAGAAGTTGTTGATGGCCCTAGATGTCTCAGTAAGAAGTGGTGGAAACTAAGCCAGCCCGGTTTTCTAAAGCCTATTCTCCGTCAATTAAGCATATACCCTCCCAAACAAAATTCCACCAGTTAGATAAAGGTTGCAAAATTGGGTCAAATTTACTTTCTGGAGGGTTGATCTGGTGATGTGACATGGAGGCAAACAAATGAAGTTTACACTCTGCATTTACCTTGCAAACATCTTAGAAGACCTATTGTGTACTCAGCAAGGCTCTGAATGAGAGAAGACTTCATGAGATAATGCATCACTCAAGGAGTTAATGTCAAGTGGAAATGGTAAAGACTTGTGTATACCTGTGCATACACAATTCAACTCCGCAAATGCTGTATACCAGGCACTCTAAGAAGATCCCAAATTATAAAAACACAAGGGTCATTGTTTCTTTAAAGACAACTGCAAAATTTAAAAACACCAAAACACTCAAAAATTGGGCACTGGAGAGAACACAAGTCAAATCACACAAAGAAAGTTTAGATGAACCAGTAATAATAAAATCAGATATGTCAGTAAATTCTGAATGGCAGAAGGAAAAAGAGGCAGTAATACTAGGTGGGGTGACCCCAGACCATGTAGTAAAGGCATGCACATTTTACCTCTAGGCAATATACAAACTCTTGGGTCAGAGCTCTGGTTCCTAGACAATCAGGAGGAAGAACCTGGATTTCCATATATCACTTAGATATAGAAGTGGAGTGGGTTGGTTTAGCTTAATGCTAACAAATTAAAAAAAAAATACATAGACCAATTTTTCAAGCAACTAGAAACCAGATTTAAAAAAAAGAGATGGAGATCTTCAAAGACAGGGACCTTAATTGAGAAGACAGCATACTAAAACTGGGGAAATCAAGATCACTAGACTTCATAGGACATAGTAATGGAGACCAGCAAGCTGGTTAGTGGGAGGATGAAAACAATTCTGGGGGGTGTGCTTAATAGTCAGTGTTTGAGAGGAATAAATCGAACAATATTCAGGCACAAATACAGTGCTTGTTTCTACCCGCCATACTGGAAAATCTCACAGTTCATGGATCATTGTGTAGCACACATGGAAGGGACCTGCCTCAGCAGTAAAGAATAATTAGACTAGACTAAACATTGTTCTAATTCCACTTAACAAGTTTTTAAAAGAATCTAAAGAATCCAAATGCATCCAAGAAACTTTCTGTGCCCCAGAATAGAATTCAAAAATATTTACAAGAATACAAAAATATCCAGCACCCAACAAAGCAAAAAATCAATGTCTGGCATTCAATAAAAAAGCACCTGGCATGTAAGAAAGTGGAAAATGCAACCAGAACGAGGAAAGAAATCAACCCATTTAAAGTGATCCAGGACTGATATAAAGTTTAGAATTAGCGAACAAGGACATTAAAATCACTACCAACACTCTATTCCATATGTTTACAAGTTATGGCATGGAATATTTTAGTGAAACCCAAACTGAACTTATAAAATAGAAAATTACAATGTTCCAAAAAGAAAAAAAACTCACTGGATGGGATTAACAGTTGGTTAAATTTTGCAGAAGTGCAGAAACACAAAGTATTTTTAAACAGCATCAGTGAGCTGAAGGATAACCTCAAGTGACCATATGTGCATGTAGTTGGAGTCATCAAAGGAGAAAGAGGATGGGAAAAGAGAAAATGTAAGTAATTGCTCCGGCAATTCTAAATGCAATGCAACTATAAATTCAGAGATTTAATAAGTACAATAAACCTCACGTACAATAAGCAATGAAAATACTGAAAACCAGTAATAAATGAGAAAATCTTAGCAGAAGTCAGAGAACAAAAGGGCATGTATACATAGGGAACAAACACAGGAATAATGGCAGATTTCCCTTGGGAAGCAATGCAAAAAGAAGACCAAGGAATAGCATTTTTTTAATTATTAACAGAAAAGTCTGAGTTCAGAATTCCATACCCAGCAATGATAGCTTACTGCAAAACAAATTCAGTATGAGTAGACATGAAATACAAGAAACAATAATAGATATTTTCAGGCAGAGGGACAGTGAAACCAGATAAAAATGTGAATGTATGTGAAAGAATGAAGTGCACCAAAATTGTAACTACATGGGTAATTACATAAAATTATTTATTTAAATATCTTTAAAAGATAATTTAACATTTAATGAAAAATAATAATGACTTGTGGGATTTATATGTATATGAAAAACATGTATGGTGATACAGTATAAAAATTTGGAAGAGGTAAATAAAAGTCCATTATCTTACAGTTCTTATCCTCTATACAAAGTGGTATAATAGTATTTGTTATGTTATATACTATTAGTATGTAGTATGATATTATGTTTTGTTACAGGGTGTATTCAATGAAAAATTACCTGGCATGCAAAGAAGTATGATAATGCAACCTATAATGAGGCGAGAAATCAAACCTTTTGTGTAAAAACAGTCATGGTCTTGATACCAAGGTCAATGGGATGAAGCCAGATGACCTAATCATTAGTACAGGATGACTGTAATGCCAATAAAGCAAATTTAAAATTTCCATGGATTTGGTAATATGAGAGGTGTCTAATTATCCCACGGGTCTGTTTCATTCTAGTGACAATGACAGCAATGTAGTGCAGTAGATTTAGGAATAAATAGGAGATAGCCATAAGAAGAGAACTGACAGATTTCTCTTTCAAAAAACAGTTTTCAAAGAAGATAGGTCATAGGTCATATCTAGTGAAGAAAGAAGGGCCAAAGGGACATACTCAATCCATAAAATCTTAGAAAAGCTCAGAAAGCAAACAAACAAACAAACAAAAAAAACAGGACAATAGAAAAAAAATAGAACTGTGATCAAATTAAACCTAATCACAATAATATCATGCTTAATATAAACTATAAAATTAATTTAAAGGTACCAATGTCAAATTGGATAAAAAGTAAAAAGGACCCAACTACTTGATTTCTGGAAGAAACACACTTTAAATATAAAAGTGCAAATAGTATAAAAGTGAAAGAATGGAAAATTGTACACTATTCTAGTATTAATATAAGAACATTTATGCAGTTTTACTATTATCAGACTGAGAAGATCTAAGAACAAAAAATATCACAAACACAGAAATGACCATTTCATTTTGATAAAGGGATCATACATTAAGACTATATTGCAATTCTAAATGTTTATGCACTTAATAACAGAGCTTCAAAATACCTGAAGTAAACACTGATAGGGCCACAAGAAAGAAATTCTTTAATAATCAGCTATTTCAATACCACTCTCTTAGTCATTGCTATAAGACAGAAAATCAGAATTTAGTATACTTGATAATAAGCACAATTTGCCCTAATTGATATTTCTAGAACTTCTTATCCATAAGAATATACATTCTTTTTCAAGTGGACAATCAACACAGTGAAAGGTCCATCTCTGGGACATAAAACCACCCTTGACAAACTTAAAATAATTAAGGCCATAAAAAGTATGTTCTCTGATAAAGTGAAATAAAATTAAAAATCACTAGTGAAACGATATCTGGAAAGAAAAAAACAAAACAAAACAAAACAAAAAGTAATTAGGACCTAGGTAACATTCTTCTAAATAATCCATGTGCCAAAGGAGGAAGTAACTGGGAGGTTACAAAGCATTCAAGGTCACCAAAATGAAAAGGCAATTGACCAAAATCATGAAAAAGTAGTTAAAAAATTTTGCATATGCCCTATCAGTAAATCCAGCTACCACCTTATATATCCAGGAAATAAGCAGGAACAAATAAACCCAACATAAGCCAAAACAAAGCGAGGCATAACAAAAATATCAGAATAGAAGTCAATGACCTTGACACTAGGTAAAGCCAAAGAACAAAAGCTGTTTCTTAGAAAAATAAATTTCTAAACTCTAGCTAAAACCATCAAGAATCATCAGAAAAAAGAAGAGAGAGAGAGATATAAGACAAATGGCCAATATTAAAAATTAAGAGTTCACATCATCATAAATTCCAGAACAGATCATGACATGATATATTATTATTTGTTTTTTGCTGGTAAACTGTCTAACTTACCCAAAATGGACAAACACCTTGATTCACACAAGCTACCAAAACAATCATTCAAGATAAGAAAATTCCAATTTACTTCCATCACAGTATCCTAACAAAATAGGAAGCCGTGGATTTGCCACTTACCTGTGTAGAGGTCCGTATCTGTGTATTCATCTACTTTCTTGTACTGAAGAATATAGTCCGAGACCTTGGTCCCGATAGCTGGCTGAACATCCAGCCACTCCAAGGAAACCACGGTGCTGGAGGGCTCCACTGTTGGAGACAGCCGAAGCCTAAGGAGATGGTTGTTTGCCAGTCAGTAAAGGGGCCCCGGAAGAGTTTGCATGGGTCAAGATTAAAAGTACAGGAATCAGGGCCCTCCCCAATGGCATAATGACTTAAAGCACAGCACTATGAGAAGCTGTCTGTGGCCAGTGTACCATGAGTTCGATTCCCAGACAGGGAGCTGATCCAGATGGCTCAGCAGACCTGGTGTGACCCACCCATTGCTCCTCTCAGCAGTATGTTTCAGTAGATATGTCTGTTCTGCTCCCCACTCTGTCACTAGTGAATCCTCTCACCCTCTGCATCTTTGGTCTGTACCCCAGTTCTTGTATGCATAAATAAATCAATCTTAAAAAAAAAAATACAGTATTCAATCTGAGCTCAGATTCTGATTCAACTACCACCAACCCCTTGTATGAATGAACTGAGGTAGTTATTTCAACTTTTTCAGCCTGTGTTTTCTTGTCCATAAAACAAGAATAAGAAGAGTAATGGTTCAGGATCAACATGAGATCCAGCAGATTAATCCAATCACATAATATATGCTTGCAGAAAGCTGACTAGCTTCCATGTACTTCAACTATATTCTCAATGATGCTTGATTGTAGCTTACATAATTGACAATGGTTCCAAACCCAGTAGCATTGAAGCTTCCTGCCATTGCCTTCAATCCCCAACTATCAGTCAACTCTCTAATATCTGTAAATAGTACTCACATACAAAGGGCAAAATTATTTTATAAAGCCAAAAAATAATAGAATGATTGAAGTTTAGTAGTGAAAAGGTCTTGAAGAATGATCAAATTTTGTCCCATCATTTCACAGATAAGTACAGTCCAGAAAAGGAAATGATTTGCATTTTGCACAAGATCACACAGTAAGCTGAGGACACAATCATAATGGTTACTTTGCTGGCCCCTGCCGAAGTTTCTCTCATTCTACTATACCACACTCTTAAAAATAAGGAAAAAAAATTAGTACATTTTAAAGTTTATTTATGCATACAAGAATTGGGGTATAGACCAGAGGCTTAGGAGTGATTCACCAGAGACTGAGTGGGGAACAGAAAAGGCAGACGGATGAAGTATACTGCTGAGGGGACCAGTGGTGAGGCAGGAAAGGTCTTCTGCACCATGTGGGTCAGCTCCCTGTCCAGGAATGGAACTCAGGCCACAGTGGCTGGTGATAGCTTCATAGCCCTGCACCACCAGAAAGGCCCAATAAACACACTCTGTGGAGGACCATCTTACCATGGGAGTCTCCTCATCCCAAGAAGGATGCTATTGAACTCCAGTTCCCCAGTATTTGTTCCTGTTCAGCTCTCAGCCCACATTAAGAACCTTCCTGGACTTCTTGCAATACTGAGTCCCCAGCCTCACAACTGATTTACAGTACCCCCACCACTTTCAGACACACTGTTCTTTTTCTGGAACACAATGGCTGTCACTCATTCCGGCTGACTCTCATTCCAGTTCAGCCTCTGCTTGGACCCTTCCCTCACTATCTTCTACACCCCTCCAACTACAGCATTCCAATAGTATTCTTTCCATTAGCACCTCTGTTTCATATTTTCATTATTTACATTGTTAATAGCATTATATTTTCCTGTGTTTGTTATTACATCTCTTTTCCCAACTATCAGATCCCTATGTGCAGACTGTGCTTATCTTGTTGAACAACTGATGAGCTTTCTCCAACCCTTCCCATTGTCTGACACATGTCAGACACCTAGAATTACTGGTTTAATGAATGAATACAATGAATGTATAAATATAGAAAAGATCCTATCCCTTCTCTACCTCAATGGACAACTGCTAGTCAGTGCCCAGCAAACCTTTGTTAAATGGATAGTAATGGGACCAAGTGGCATTGTTAAATATCAGTGTGCAATCTGACACACATTTCTGTGCTGCCAAAGTCCCCTGCTTTCTCAAAAAAGGAGGAGGACTCAACAGTTCAGGATTCTGCTCATGCACCCTGAGGACAGAAGCCAGAAATGGCCTGGGCTGGGAAAAGGAGCATCATGGAAAGGGATGGCGAAAGGAAGAGGGACCATACATACGTACACCGGCTGCGGTAGGGGGCTGCAGTTGGGGAGCCCACTGGCATCAAAGGCGCTGAGGTCACACCTGCACCAGTCATCAATAACATCCCCTTTCCCTGAGCACCAGTAGGAGCTCATCAGTGCACTCTTGAAGGCCTGGAATAAAGGAGGACAGAAGAGACAATGATGACAATGGTGGAGAGGCTGAGAATGAAAGTGACAGTAGCCATGATGGCAGCAGACCACAAATTCTGAACAGCCCTCCTCAGCATGGTGATGCTGAAACCCCTAGCACTCTACCATTACATTCACTCATTCTGAAATGTCCCCTGTGTAGCAAGCCAGATCAATGAGAAGCTACCGTGGGTCCAGCACTCCACCTATATTAAATCATTTCATCTTCACAACCCCGTTAAATAGGCATCATTATAAATAATCGTTATTTCCCATTCTACAACTTAGAAAGAAAGATGTCAAAAAGCAGGCAAGTAACTTGCTTGAGGTTTATTGTTAGGGAATGACAGAGCTAGAATATAACCCAGGTGAGGCTAGCTCCATACCCAATTGTCCTAAACATCTTTGTATATTACTTCTTGTAGAAATCTAATCATCTCAACACACTGCTTAGAAACCTTCAGAGACTCCCCAGGGCCTCAAGAGAGTATTCACTCCTTGCTCAAGAGTAGGCCATCTCCCCTGTCTCATCTTCCATGGTCCTCTCTCTAACCTTCCTTTACACCTCATCATCCAAACATTAACATTTCCAGTAACATTGAATTCTTGCATATGAAAGGTCTGCTCTAAATCAGAATAGAGCAAAGTATCTCCGTAGAGACACAGAGAGTAAATATTTCAGGCTTTGAAGGCAGGCAGTCACTACACAATTTCTTAACATGCTTTTGTAGCATGAAAGCAATATTAAAACTTGGAAAAGGCATGATTGGGTGCCGACAAACTTTACTTACAAACATAGGTAATAAAGCTAGATTTGATCTGTGAATAAGAGCTTACTGATTCTTGATCTAAATTATAATCAATGTTTTCTTTCACTGCAATGCTTCAATGTTGTTTTACACACATTTTGTTGTTCTGCCTCACACACTTCTATACATACACACACAAACAAAAACAAACATTCACTGTAATTCACTCTCATTCTTAAATGAAACATTCGTTGTCTAGGTATCCTAACTCAAATTTCATAAGCCTGGACTATACCTCTTCTTCTCAACCCCTTAACACAGTAGACACATCTATCATCACACTTCTTGTCTGTCTCACCCAACAGACTCTGATCCCACTAAGAGCACAGGTCATATCCTACTCAAAGGAATATTCTTATGGGACAGACTATTTACTAAACAAAGAGCAGGAAATGAAAACTGATCATCAGGCTCCAGATCAAATGAACTTCAAGCATTGGTCACTCCATTTACATTTAAATTTCAAGGCATTAGGAATTCAAAATGCCTGACAATGCTTTATACAACTTAGGGCTTCAAAGAATGTTGGTATCTCATACAACTTAGATACACTTTGTGCGGGATGGAGGGTGGTGTTTCTTATTTTTAAAAAACATTATGTGCACTTTTAAAATGAAATCTTCATACTTCCTATTGCTAAAGTCATCTGAGTATACAGCCATCATTTTTACTAGGCTCTATTTGTGAAAAGACTCAAGTACAATATGTTTGACTAAGGTGGGTCTGTTGTCTATCTCCTTAGCTACCCAAAACACGGATTTGGAAGGGAAAGGAAAAATGCTATTGTGCAGTCAATTTTTAATAAAGCTAGCTACAAAGGTCAAAATTTCACAGTACTTTTATATGACCATAATGCCATAAAATTACACATCAACTATTAAAAAAAAGTAAAAATTACAAATACATGGAGACTAAACACTGTGCTGCTAAGTAACAATTGGATAAAGAAATAAAAGCAATTTAAAAAAATACCTTGACACTAACAAAAAATGATACAAATTACTAGGAACTATGGGATACAGCAAACAGTTTTACATGAGAAGGTAAATGCAATTCGGGTGCACCTTAGAAAACAAAAACATTAAGAAACAAGCAACTTGAAAAAAGAGGAACAAATAAGACACAAAGTTAATAGAAGAAAATAAAAATAAAAGCAGAAATAGAGATTCAATACAAAACAAAAATCAATGTAACTATGAGCTGATTCTTCAAGAAGATAACCAAAATAGATAAATCTCTAGCTAGACAAACAAAGGAGTATAGAAAAAATTAATGGAATCACAATGAAAGAGAAGAAATCACTATAGCACAGAAATAAAAATGATCATCAGATTTCTATGAACTGTATTCCAGTAAATGTATTGATAATGTTGAAGAAATGCTAGAGTTTCTAGATCTATATAGTCTAGTAAGACTAACTGAGGAAGAAACACATGAATTAAACAAATTGATCACAAGCACGGAGACTTAAACAGTAATTTAAAACCCTTCCAAAAAACAAAAGCCCAGAAATTGGAAGAAGAATTAATGCCCATCTTGCAAATTGTTTTTAAAAGTGCAAGAGAGAATATTATCTAATATTTCAAAATGCCAACATTAACCTAATAGTGAAACCAAAGACAGCACAAGAAAACGATAGACCAATATCCCTGATGTGCCTCACTACAAAAATTTTCAACAAAATACTAGCAGCAGTATATCACAAGGACTGCACAGCAGGATAAAGTGGAGTTTATCCTAGGGCTGACAGGATGTTTTAATATTCATAAATCAATTAATGAAATATCTCATATATCAACAAAACCAACATTATAAACCTTAAGATATCAACAGATATGGAGGGAACATTTGATAAGATTCAGCACACATATTTGAAAAAGACCCTAAGTAAAATGAGAATAGAAGGGACTTACATCAATATAGTAGAGGCCATAGATTACAAATCAATAGCCAATATAATATTCAACAGGTGAAAAACTGAAAACTTCCCCCCTAAGATCAGGAACAAGACAAGGATGCCATTGTCAGCACTACCTTTTGCTACTAGAGATCTTGGCCAGAGCTGTCAGACAAACAAGGAAATAAAGGGGAACCTAAATGATAAAAGAAGTGAAACTATCACTAGCTGCAGTCAGTATGTAAAAGTTCTACAGACCTCATCAAAAAGTTATTAAAAACAATGAGGGGATAGTGTCAGGTTCTATCATCAACATACAAAAATCCATAGCCTCTTTACATAAATAACCAACAACAACAAAAAGAATTTAATATCTCAGAATCAACCTAAAAGGAAGTTAAAGATGTAAGCAAAGAGAACTACAAGATGTTACTAAAGGAGCTAGACATAAGAAATAGAAGGCTAGCCCACGATGACCGATGGGGAGAAGCAATATACTCAAAATGACTACCCTGCATTAAATGATACAGAAATCTAACGTAATCTCCATCAAAATACCAGCAATATTTTTTCAAAATAAAAAAACAAAACTGAACAGAAAATGTATATGTGATGACAAAGGGCCTCAAATTACAAAAGCAACCTGACAGAATAGAAGAAATGGAGGTATCACCTTAACAGACTTAAACTTGAGTTCAAAGCAGCAGTATTAGAAACAATATGGTACTGGCACAGAAATAGGTCAATGGGCCAAAGGAACAGAAATGAAACCATGCACAACACCACCTCATCTATGACAGTACACCTATGACCATCAAAAGGGGAAAAGACCATCTGTTTAGCAAGAGGTGTGAGGAAAATTGTAAAGTTACACATACAAGAATAAAGTTGGATTAACAGCAAACATAATATACAAAATTAAACTCCAACTGGGTCGAAGATTTAAATATAGGATCTACAACAGTAAAATATATACAACAGTAAAATATATAGAAGAAAACACTGGCAATCTGTCCCATCATGTCAACAACAAAGACATTGTTTTGGTGAGTCAATTCCAAAAGGCAAGGAAATTAAAAATAAACAATTAAGGGGCCTTCCCTGGTGGCGCAGCCGGTTAAAGCACTGCACTGAGAAACTGAAGCCACTTCCGCATGAGTTCGATTCCCGCCTGCCCTGGAGGCGCACATGGCGCGGCAGACCTCTCCTGACCCGCCCGCTGCTCCCCTCAGCAGTGTACTTCGTCCATCTGCCTGTTCTGCTCCCCGCTCTGTCTCTGGTGAAGCCTCTCACCCTCCGCAACTCTGGCCTGTACCCCAGTTCTGTACGAATAAATAAATAAATCTTTAAAAAAAAAATAAAATAAATAAACAATTAAGATTGTCTCAGGTTCAAAAGCTGCTATATAGCAAAAGAAAATCCTAAACAGTTACATAAGCACTCTACGGAAGGGGAAAAATCTTTATAGAATATATAACTGATAAGAGATTAATAGCCATATAAATCACATATAGTTCAACAATTAAAAATAATAATAAATGGGAATCAGATAGGAAGAATGGATACCCAGAAGGCCAAAAGGCATATGATAAAATGTTCCTCATCATTTCTAGTAAGAGATGCAGTTTAAAACTACAATAACAAACCATCTCACATTTGTGAGAATAACAAATTAAGAAGATCCCCAATAAGTATGGAGAAGATGTGGAGAAAAAAGAACCATATTGCACTCCTGTTGGGAATGTGAACTGGTATAACCTTTATGAAAATCAATCTGGATTCATCATAAATACTAGAAATGGAAATATCATAGGACCTGACAATCCCACTCTTGGGCATATACCCACAGAATATGAAACCTTCAACAACGATAAAAACCTTCATGTTTTCCAATGTCCACGGCAGCATTATTTACAACAGCTAGGCCATGGGAACAGCCAACATGAACATCAACAGACTAGATCAAGAAGATGTGGCATAAACACACCGTGGAGTATTAGACAGCCATAACAAAGGATGAAATGCAACCACTTTTTGACAAAAAGGAGGGAATTTGAGAAAATTATGTGTAACAAATTCAGAATGATAAAAACAAATACTGGATATTTATGTGGCAGATAATTCAATAATGTAAACCAATTTCAAACTCCAGTGGTCATCATAAAACATCCTGAGGACTCTGAGGATAAGTGGGGAGGGAGGAAGGACAAGCAAAGAATAGTGGTATGCGGGGGTATAAAGAATGCTATTGTGTAAGCCTCCATCATATTTCTCCC